CCCCAAAACCCCAAAACCCCAAAACCCCAAAACCCCATATAAATTTATATGATTTTTTTGACAGTTAAGTTAATTATGAAATTATGATAAACTTAGCAATCTGATAATAACTTTAATATATTATTTCATTTCTTAAAAAAGCTAGTTTTAGATTTCTATAGCTTTATGCTTTCTTCTAAGGTCTACTCCTAAATCTACTTCTACTACTATTCCTTAGCTACAGCCTTCACTTTATTACCAAGCATTCTATTTTTCTAAAACATCTTAAGATTTTCTTTCAATCTTTCACTTCCTTCAGTATGAGTAGAAACGTTATTACTTTTAAATGAGACATCCTTGATTGATCTTTTTGCTGCAGCGGCTGCTTAATAAGTCGAAGTTGATTGGCCATGCTGATATAAAGGTGCATTGACAGAGCTGTGCAAGAGATTCTTTTGCATCTTGATTCTAGGCCTAACATTCGCTAGTAAATTATTGCCTTTACGTTTAGATTCATCTTCAGAGGATGTTTAAAGATTATATAAAAAGGCATTTGCAGTGGATCTATTTTGCTTCTCCTCACGCTTCCATTGCCAATATCCAGGTGCTAATGAGCTTGCCTACTCATCAGTTTCACCTCCTCCTTGATTCTAAGATGTATTTGAACCTTGAGCATTTGTAAGATATTTTAGACCCTCTTTTTGATAGAAAATCTGCTGCATTGCTGGCTGAGTTTCAATTTGCTATTATTCATTTGGATTCATATCAGATATTTTATCATCACTTGTACTTCCCGCTCCATATCTATTAGATTACTGCTTGGGAATCTTTTTCACTGACTTTTTAAGGAAGTTGTCAATCTTAGTCTCCTCTAATGACTTTGTCTTCTCATAGGTATGCCCAGCTTCTTCCTCTTAAACGGTCTCTAGATCTTCATATATTTTGCTGATGCTGTCAAGTTCCTATACAATGCTATCTTAGGAATTTGTCCCGAAATTTTAACTTTTTCTGAGGCTTTACTGACTCTGCCTAATCATTTGAATCTATGGTAGAGTTTATTAGTTTTAGGATATTTTGTTTGCATTATCACTTCTTAAAACTTTATTTGCATTTGCTGTGGCTATAGTATCTTGCTGAGCTAATTGGGTAGTTGAGGTTGCTCCATTATATGGGAGATAATTCCTTTTAACTAACTTAAGTTCTGAAGAAGAGAATGCTTAGACCATCATATTTCCCAGTAAAGTTTTCTTAACTTTATCGTGATCAGCTAAACTATGACTTTCCTGACTCCACGATTGCATCTGATTTCTATTATAAGCAGGCATAAGCACTTGAAGTGGCAATACTTCAATTTCAACCCTTTGGTTTTCTTCATTTTATTGAGTTTGTTCCACATACGACTGAATTTACTTTTTAATTTGAGTTTTCAATGACTATCTAGAATCGTATTTGGGTTACTCTTAGATTTCTCTATTTTAAGCTTGCCTATCCTAGTTCTAATTGATAATCTAGTCTGTTTAGTCTAGCTTAGAATGTGTTAAATCGAAGTTTATCATTGAATCCTCCTATTCGTACCTATTATTCTTTCTTGAGGGCTTAGAGTGATTGATGTTGTTGTTATTATTGCTGTTACTGTATGCTTTTGACTCCTCTTAAGATCTAAGCTTATAGTCAAAGTCATTTTCAACTTTAGGCTTGCTATAAATCTTTGGAGAAGTATCATTCTTTGATTTCAAATTTAAGAGTTCTTATTTGACTCTTTCCTGGAAATCTTTTTTCATACCTGAATCTTCACTGTAAGATTGATCGCCATAGCTGTTATCAATGATATTGACATAATCCATATCAGATTTCTTCTTTTAGTGACCAGGATGATAAGTTTATGGGGGATTTAGATACATATTATCTTCAAAATCATTGAATGTATTCTTGAGTTCTTCGGCAAGTGACTGCTGGTTCTCTAATAGTTTGCTATGCTTTTGAGATAATTCTTTATTCAACCTTTCCTATTCCTCATCTTCATTAAATAACTGTATCATCAATTTCTAATCCTTAGAGTTATTAATCCCAGTAAGTTATGAAATTTCTTGTTTATTTTGAATTTGGACTGGTAAGTTATTGAAGGAGTTATCGGAAATATCAGTTTTTTGCTAGTTGATTGCTTGTACTGTTATTTATTAGGCTGGCTAGTTCTGTTTGATCTAATTCTATGGAGGTATTAAGTTGAGTTTTTTCTTCAGAACAGGCTAGTCCTGAATATTCAACTTTCCTAGATTGCCTCTCTTTTAGTTGGAGTATTCACATTCAGCATCAGATTGGTATTAGACGTTAAAATTGTTAATAGAATTATTACCTATACCAACCATCAAAGGCCTTTATAATGTAGATGTATTAGTCTTGCCATTCTAACCTCCTTACAATGACAAATAAGAGTTAGCCATAAATTAACCCTTGTCCAAGGCGTTCGAATAAACAAGATTGCTATTGACTAGGGGCTGTGCCTTATCGTCATAGGACTTGTCACTCACATACTCATATTAGTTAAACTCTTTAAGCATAGATTCCAATAGATTTTAACTAGCCTAATTATCGAACTCATTATAATCAATGAGGAAATCAGTTTCATCGATAAATGGTTGATCATCAGGATTAAAAGGTATGTTTTCCTCCTCCTAGATTACTTCACTGATGACTTTCTTTTTATCTTTATCTGAATTTGAATCACCACTTTATCTAAGCGGTTAAGATTGCTGCTCTTACTAGTTCATGACTCTCTTGTACATATCGCTTAGATTTGTATCATTAATAGTCATAGAACCATTTTCTACTTTATTTTCCTCCATTTAAGTCATTGACACATTTTTAATCAGATCATCATAGAATTTCTTCATGTCTTCAATCTTTCGTTTATCCTACTAAGACTATTAATTGATAATCAGTACTTTCTGATTATCACTCTTCTATGGGATGATTTGAGTTTTTATTTCTGGTTTCTTATCAACATCAGATTCAATTACTTTGTATAAATTGTTCTAGGGGTGCTGCTTTTATGATTCGTGTACTGTTTGAGTTTTAGTCTCTCCTTCAGAGTTCAGCATTATCATGTCAAACTACTCTTAGGTCAATAGCACTGGTGCTCTTTACTAACTTTAACTTACACCTGAGTTATTTCTAACTTACTACTACTATTAAGGCAGTGGTGCTGCTTAGTGCTATCCCACTTTCTATTTAGCTTGTCTTTAGAAGACTTAAGGCTAATTATTTTGTTTTATAATTTAATCGCTCTAAATAGATGTGGAATTTTAAGTATTTTGCTATTGAGTGGAGATAACTTCCACTTACTTCTGCTCAAAAGCATTCTATATCAGTGAAGCACTCTACTGGAATAACTACTATTGCTTATAAAACGCTATCTCCTCCTTCATGAATTTTGGAGCAGGGGACGGTGATCTATCAATTAGATTAGTGTTTCTTCTTTCATCTTCAGATGATTAATATGTTTTCTTAAGCAAAAGTTTACTTTTATTTCCCAATCTTTTCTTTTGTTCTTTCTAAATCATTCGGCTATGCTATAATTTGTTAGATTATCCTGAATATATAGAGACCGTGTTAGTACTTTCATTGATGTTATTAGAACCAACACCAACTGATTTCAAGCTCATTGTTGAAGTAGGCTGATGTTGTACTTAATGATTTAGCGATTTCTGCTCAGCTTTCTGCTATATTTTAAGCTCCTTTTTTGGTTCTGCTTATATAGATATTGATTTAGATTTGTTTATCTTAACTGGTGAACTTTCTCTATGACTACTTTCTGAGGAAATTGACTCTTCCTGCTATTATTAACTAATCTCTTTGAATTACTTCTATGATAGTTTTCCTTTTGATAGATTAGACTTCTAATGAGTTTTGTAGAGTATATTATCATCAAAAGGAACTACGCTATTAGATTTCAATTTCTTACCTCTTTAAGTTTTCACTTCAACATATTGCCCTTCACTTGACTCTTCTTCTTGTTACTCAATTTATATAGGCACAATTTAGTTTTTATTATACTTTTTCTAGGGTTTGATATTCTCAGCTATTTCAACTCTAATCAAATCTTTTTCTCTTTGTCTATGACTTTAAGAACGTTATCTAGAATTGCTTTTTCCTCGGGGTGTTTCATACTAACTAGAGTCTGAAAGATTCTAATCTCTAGTCTTACTTTATGATCTTGCACTTTTAGCTCTGATTCTATCAACTATGGCTTTGTTCCTTAAGTCTTCTTAGAAAACATAGTCCTTTATTTTCTCAATACCTCCTTTAAAGAAACTTCCAATCGACTTAACGATTGTAGAGGTTTTACTAATCGCTTTTTCGAATACAGATTAAGGTTCATTTTCTTTTTACTTGGAGCTTGATCTTACTGACTTAGATCTCTTATTTCCTTAAGCATATTACATTTCTTCATCATCGTTTGGGCTACTTGATTCTTAAGATTAGCCTCTTTTACCCATCAAGAATAAATCTCTTGCTGTTTAAAGTTTTCTCATTTTCGGATTTACTATTGTACTATCATCTCGGACACTAAGATGAAAGAAATTTTTAGTCTTATCTAGTTCTTATGAATCTTGATCCCTTCTATAAGACCTTTTTTACTCTCTATCACTCTTATTACTTCTTCTAGAATTATTTTAAAACCTATCACTTTTCTAGATCAAACTTTGATCTTAGACCTAGGAGTCATCAATCTATGAATTACTCTCTTCAAGATGATTATTTTTCCTGAGAGGCTATTGTTTATACTTATCATATTTGGTAAACATAGGAATATCCTCACTCTCTGCTTTAGACCTAACTGATTTTTTCTTTTCCCTCTTCAGCTTCTTCATGTAGCTTTCTTAATGCATCAATGCCTGAGAGTTACTACTGAGTTTTTATACTCGTTTAGTATATTTAGTCTGGCCCCCTAGATAATCAATGTCAGCCTCGCTATCAGTCTAAACCTTTTTATCAGAGTATTATTCTTCGCTAGATATCTCTTTTATTACTTTCAGTCTTTGATTTCTCAGATATCCTCCTTAGTCTCCTCTGCTCTTGATACTTCTAGATGACTTACTTTTAATTTGATCAATTGGCACCACTGAATTCTTCTTATATCTTTTCCTTTGCTGTTTATCAATACTAGAAATTTCTCTTTCTAGAATGGCATTTTAATACTGCAAGTTTCTCTCTATTTTCTATAATGCTTAGTAGCATTCCTTGTTTCTCATTTTCTCAGCTACATCTATAGGTCGTAATCCTTATCTATTTCTTTCTAGTAATAATTCAAACCCTCCATAATTAGCTACAGTTACGATTGAATTCAAAGAGTTGTATGCAGCTGCAATATGTAGGCAAGTATCACCGTTTTTTCTAAATATTATATGAAAAAGATTATACTACTTACTTTCTATGAAACAAGTTACAGTCATAAGATATCAAAATTTTTAAGCAGTCAATTTCATTGTATCTTATAGCAAGAAATAAAGGAGTGCTTCCACTTACATCAGCATGTTCAATCAATTTATATTTCTTCCCAAAATTACACAATAAAGCAGTGATCTCCTTATGACCATTTGAAACTGAATGATGTAATGCTAGAATATTGGTTATAATTTTATAATGATTTTACCATTTCTTTTCTGTTGGTCAATTATTTCTAATGTCCCTTTAGCTTTCAGATAGACTTGAAGAAAAGCAATATTGCCAAGTATACAGGCTTATATCAAGTATGTTTCACTATCTGGCTTCACAAATTGTACATGCTTAGTCTCCTTATTCTACCAGTACTTTTTCCCTCTTTAATCATACTTCTTCGCCCACTAATCAACACTAATAAGTATCATGCTGTAAATCTTACAAGTATGGCTTAGTTTTTTTACTTTTAGCGTCATAAAACCGTGGGTAGTTCCATTGAAAGGTTTTCGTCCCTACTATATGAAAGTAAATAAATCCTTCTTTTGTAGTTTTGACCTCCCATTCTTCATCATTGATATTCTCCTCACTATCTTCATCTGAGTCATCTCTCTATTTATTCTGAAATCTCCTTGACTGTACTTATCTTTAAGAGTTTCTTTGAGTTTTAATGAACTATGGTTCAAACTATTAAACAACTTGTCTCTATGTTCTAGACTTTTGTGGATAAAAATCTTTGCTGAATCGATCAAAGTTTCTGCGATTATCTCTAATGGTGTTAGTTTTTCCCTAGCCAGACATCTTCCTTACAACTTTCTTCGGTCTATACTCAGACACTTCACTACTCTCACTTGAGTCCATTTAAAGTTATGAGTCATCTGATGAATTCGACTGTACTTTCTTCTTTTGCTTTTCAACTCTTTATTGCCATTTGTACTCATAAGAGAGGTCTTTCTGCTGCTGCATAAACAAAACATACTGATCCTAATAGCTGTACTTATCCTAAAGCTTTCCTTTACTATTATCACTTTTTGTTAGATTTGTCAAATTTTTACTATTGCTCTTTCCCTTACTTCGATGATCCTCATAATTAATCTCATCAATATTCTACTGTATCTCATCAGAATTGGCTTATTAATCCATATAATCATCTTCATCATCTGATATTTATTTTTATGATGAGTTTTTAAATGATTGCTTTCTGGTCGACCTTTGCGTATAATCTTTTTGAGGAGATTGCGCAGCGATATGCTATTATTACTGATATTGGTAAAACTTTTATTCTTCAGATTAAGATGATGATTATTAAGAATCAGTGTCAGTTTACTATTATATTTGTTATTTAGCTGTGCTTTAATTTGCTTCTTTATTTGAAGCAGATTATTTTCTATTAATTTTTCTTTTCATGACCTTATAATTGACATTCTAGATCATTTTAATATTATAACAAAAATCAATTTCTAATATAATTTAAAATCACTGTTAATACAATTGCAATATCTTAGGGGTTTTGGGGTTTTGGGGTTTTGGGG